GGTGGTTTGCAATACAAAAAAAAAAGAACGAGAAAATTTATATGGTGATGTGCGGAACTCGTTATAGGATGTGAAAATTTTTAAACTTACACAAAAACTTTAGTAGCATAAATTCATCTCTCAAAACAAATGAGCCCAATTCAAGGCTTAACGAGTAGAACTAAGCTCATTAGCTGCTCATTTCAAATAACACAATTAAGAGCAAAACCTCAACTGGAAGCTACAAAGAATATTGAAGAAAGATAATTTTTCCTTTATTATTTTCAATTTTCCCAGTTCTTGCAGCAGGACATCGCGTCACAGATTTATCAATGAACCCGAACAAACCAAATTGAGAAGTCCCCATATCAATTGAATTGTATATCATGTTTGATTATACAAATATTTTGTCATGGCTCAAGAATCAGCCCAAATAAGAATGAAATGCATGATGTAATTCCCCACTAGTAATGCTCTTTCAGTTGGAGTAGAGTTTCTGAAAGCAACAAAAACTTAGCTGGAGTAGAGTTTCTTCTCTTATTTTGATTGCTGCATTGCCTCAATAAATGCATCCTTTAGGTAAGAATTCGAAGCTGCTACTCTCTGAGATGTAATATCGAAGTCCTTACCAGAGCTATTTACAAATAAAAAAAAAATCGGATATCAGAATCTCAGAATGAAATATGTCGACTAATGATTCAACTTCTTTCTATGGCTTGAATTTATGATATGATACTCACGGATCAAATACGAGACCTCCAGCTTCGGTTACAATTATAGCTCCAGCAGCTACATCCCTGAACAGGGAGTGGCCAAATTTTCAGTAATATAGAATGTGTGTGTGTGTGTGTGCGTGATGATAGCACATGATAACAATAAGGGGGTTTTACGAGTTTTTTACCAAGGGCCTCCAAAACCTTGTTCATAGAAGATATCAAGCCTTCCAGCTGCAATGCCACAGAGATTTAATGCACAAGAGCCGCTCATACGGAGGGACCTAACCTGATCAATTGAAAACCAATACTCAAAAAAGCTACTTTCACCTGTAAAGACTCTTTCGGAATAATAGGGAGGAATACTTTCAATTCACAAATACCAGACCTGAAGTTTGATCTGATTACAGAAAAGTTAACTCGTTTCACTTAAGACAGCGTCTTCTTGAAAGTTGAAGTTTAATTAGGCGACATAATGGGTATTTGTATTTGTAATTTTTTTTTTTTTCTTTATTTTCTTCATTGTTCATGTGAGTGTCTATGGGTGTAAGCAGGCAAAAGTCAACAAATCTTAGGTAATTTCAACGATTATTCTTTAGAGACCGCCTTTAAGTTACCTTGAAGAGTAAGCTATTGATCATATTTGTGGTGGCATCCACAGTAGACTTGTCACGTTTTGTACCTGCCTGTCATTTTAAGTTCATGCAAATTCAACAAGCTTCTTGCAAGTAAAATTATCATGTTCGATTTTCAAATTCGCAATTTCGCACCCAAAGTGCCTAAACACAAGAATAAGTATAAGCTCCGTAAGTACCTCTGTGGCTAGAAGAGACTTCACAAGCTCAGTTTGAGATGACGCTGCATATTCAAGATGTAGTTGCAGTCAGAAGCAAACCAATAGAAGTAATGTTCTAAAAGAATTTGGATATTCACTATAAGTCCAAAATTATCCGCGAGTTCTTCTAAAACTACTGCACATAAAACCCTTAATCTTTTGAAATTGCAAATATCTTAGAGATTTACCTAACACAGATTATTAGTGATGATTTTTGTTGGGCCAGAAGAACAAATGTCAGGGAGGTATTTATAAATTTTTTAAATTAAATTTGGCCTTTTAATTAAAAAAAAAAAAATTCAAGCTAAACCTCAGAGGTAGTCCTGAAAAATGCAACTCTCAAAAACATTTGCACGAATGAGCAGCTTACCTTTGATGGGTTTTCCATTGAGAAATGCACCTTTTCCTCGAGCGGCAGTGAAAAGCTGCATGGAAATAGGAAATCATTATCAAAGACTCGGCCTTCAAATAATAACCTACACAATGTAGGTTTTACACCAATAGATCTTTCCCAATATAGTTTTAATGATTTGAAAGAGTATCGATTTGTTGGGCAAGGATAAAACATTGTAAAAATTAAGATCTTGATTTTTTTAGAGAGGTCGTCTTCATCTCGAAATTTTAGAATTTCATCCCACTAAAGCAGCTGAAAGTACCTCATCCATTATAGGATTATAAACAACACCGACAGTTGGAATTCGTCCAATCGTTAGCCCTATAGATACACATACGAACGGAAACCTGAAATCAATCACAGTATACAACTATCAATTCAATTTCTACAAAACAATGACATTCAATTTTTGCAGGAAAAATAATAAATATATAACATTTGATGCTTGCCCGTGAACAAAATTAGTCGTTCCATCTAAAGGATCAACGATCCAAGTTGGTTCATCGGTCAATTCTGTCACTCCACATGCAGCAGTAGTTTCTTCCCCTATGAACTAATATCAATAAAGAAACATCAAAATGTAATTCAAGCATTCAAGTCATGACGCAATCACGGATATTAATCAAGAATCAGTAGTAAAGCTAAAAAAAAAAAAAAACAAACCCAACCTTATGGTCCGGGTATGTTTGTTTGAGAACATTGAATATGAGTTCTTCACATGCCTTATCAGTCTCCGTGACCAAATCCACCTACATAGAGAAAAAACAATGGCATGAATTCTGCATATCAATGAACAAATAAAAATTTATCATTCAACAAATTAATCCTGCATCATCCCACCACATTTCTTAAAATACACTAGAAAACTAGTGACCTTTAATCAAACAGTATTGATCAATATGCATCATGACTAAACATTTTCTTGCTATCATGAATACTAAACAGCCCACATTACAATACTACAACACACACAGATAATTTTTCGACAAATCGAATTACAGAATGAAAAAGATCAAGTTTTTACTTGGCCTTTGTGCTCCACACGCTTCGTCTCGTAGAACCCTGAACGAATAATCTGAAACCCCAAATCGTATTAGACTACTGAAGATCAAAACTACGAAGAATGTAAAAGAAAATCGAGACCCCACCAAGAAAGCATGAATATACCCAAAAAAAAAAGGTGGGAAAGAAAAAAACACACACACACACACAAATGGTAATTAAGATGGGTTTATAATGAGAATGTCGCACCTCTCCAGCCTTCTTAGCGGCGTCGACCGCCGTGGCCAAGAATTCCTCCATTGAACCTGAAATCCCAACAAAAACTGTCAAGAAACTACTGAGCTCCAAAAACACACACGAACAATGTGAAATGTGCAGAGTGAATATTTGTTTGTGTGCGTGTGTTGTGAGTGGATTCGGGAAGGACAAATCTCTTCTGGGGCCTGCCTTTTGCTGCCATTTTCGCTTTTCGGAGATTGGATGATTGGGAAGTCGATGGTTGGAATTGTTTTCTCAATTTCACTATGTCACCTGAAATCGGAGCTTAGTACAAGAAAAGACTTGGGACATACTATTTGCTATGAAGCCAACAGCTAGCTATATAGTGGAGCCAATCTTCTATATATAACAAATAAATCTATCATATTAATAAAATTATATAAGTCGGTTTCCTTGTGGATCTGGAAACCGGAAGGTTCCTATACCAAAAAAAAAAAAAAAAAAATTATATAAGTGTTATTTAAATAATCAGAGAATATGGTAAGTTTATTTGTTGTATATAAAAAGGAGCCTACATAGCAAAACCGGGCACATAATATATATTCTACATATAGAAGTACACAGTAATACTCGCATTGAGTTAGACCTACCAAAAATTAAATATAAAGCGGACCACACTTTACGTGAATATTATGTACACCTCTATATACATTTACTATTTACTTGTAGCATTTTCCTTATTTGATAAATAGCCCTTATATTGAATTTTAATTGTTGTTATAAACTCGGGGACTTGCAAATATGATTTATAAAAAATGATTTATTTAGGCTGCACAAATATGCATACTTTTTTTAAAATATTTTAAATGAACAAACATAAATGTATGATTTATTATAAATATAAATATGTATTTCTATTCAAGTCACCATATAAAATGGTTAGGTTCATATAAGACACCAAATGGGCAAAGAAACCAAGATTGGCAATTGATCAAATCAATACAATATCAAAACAATTTGTCTCGTTTCACCTCACGGAATATGCCAAATTGTTGTTCGAAATTCGTATCTTTAAATGGACAAGCCTGTACTGTATATCTTTGACCCAAATCCCAATTGATACATGATTACGTAAGATAATATGTGATAACATGGAGAGACCAACACTTTCCAAAGCCTTCTATCATCAGAGTTTACACCATTTAGGGTCTAAACAAGTACAAAATTAACAATATGTGAACCCCCCCCAAAAAAAGGAATCAAATAAAACAACATTTAGGATTTAATGGTACAACATTTGGCATTAGGGCCGATGAACCGAATTGGAGCTCGAATCACAGCTATTCTCCAGGCTCTAGTGCCGCAATTTCTTTAACTACTTGTGCTTTATCAGCCTCAAACTGTTCATCCTCTGCGACAAATGGGAACCAGTCTCAGAACAAAACTATTTTGGACCGAAAAAACTAAATAAATATCTCATGAATATTGAATTGTGCTCATTCACCTTTCTCGGTTTTGAAATCAGCAAAGAGGCGTAAAAGCTTGTTTCGGTTAGCGATGAGAATACTAACGATATCAGGGGGTTTGTTCTGATTAGCAGCGAATAGCTGTAGACATAAATATGTTGTAGGCTCAGAGCAGGGTATGATACGAAGTGCATAAAATGTTACACAGGCATCCTGCAAGCTTGAGACAGAAAATACAGGAATTACCTTAAAAACATGAAAAGCTTCAATCTGTATACTCTTGCTAGATTCCTGCCACAAGGAAAAAGTGTTCAACAGTCGAGTCACGACACAAGGAACTAAAGAGACGGAGCATCCTTTTTTTAAATAAAATAATTACACATATTTTCATCTTAGTTTTCTATTATTTTTACTGGGATAGAGAACATGGCAAATGAATCAGATATCTCAAGAGCCGCACAAGAACCACACAGATTGATATCGTTCATTACATCCAAACAATATCAAGACCATAATCCCTCACCAAGCTTATTTCTTCTCTCAATACATCTCCCATCTATTATGCAAAGTGCAACAAGGAAATAGGGTCGAATCTAAAGTCCTTGAAGGTAATCGTACCCGAAGAAGATTCATGAGGATCCTCAAGTTGTCCCTTGAACAAACATATTTAGTCATCACGGCTGAATTTGAACGGTCGAGCAAAATATCACCCAATAACTGAAAGAAAATAAATGAGGCAATTTTCAGTTGCACCAATCTTGACTACAAATTATATCTTGCAATTTTTTCTATATTATTTTATACGAGAATGTGGAGTTAGTCCAGCCTCCGAGTGGTCCTCATTAATTTCCCAGCCAAGAAAAGAGAGAACGAATAGAAGTTACCTTGATAGCCTGCCTTCTGGTGATATAATTAGCAGATTCAAGCAACTTGGAGTTATATTCTGCAAAGAACTATCAACAAGAAGATAACAAGTAAATTACGTACACGTTAGAGAGGGCTCGTCGGGGAAACCAAAAATAACAATTACTAATTACCAGAAAATAACAATAAATTGCAGAGGAGAATATAATGTCCATCTCTGCAAAAAATACTTACCCAGTCGTAGTTTTTGGAAAGGAATTCAGCTACTGTTGATTTATGCCGAGTCAATAGTTCCTGAAAGAAAACACGAATCATGTTAATGATTGAATGCCTAGACACTATGTACTTCTGCAAGAACAAGTAAAAAAGTCACCAAAAGAAAGACTCTTTTACTATAACCATATATATAGATACTACAGCACAATGAAGACCAAGAAACAAATTGATATACAAAAGGATTAACTCTGAAAATATACAGAACCTTGAAAGTGGCAGCAGCATCGGAAGCAATGTCAAAATTTGGGAGTTGTATATAATCAAAAAATTTCTTCATGTGCTCTGATTCCAGTACATACCTACAGACAAAATTAAATAAAAAAATTTATATATATATATATATATATATATTTCATAGTAGTTCAGAAATGAGACTTCCAATGCTTCACAATGACGCAATATGATCTCATGTAAAGGATAAAAAGCATCCATCTTTCAGTTTCTCAGCCACGATGGAACTATTAGCATATGGTGGCAGTGCTTCATAAAGGAAGTGAGTTGTTCATCTGTTAGTATCTCTCTCCATTGCAATTTAGAACCAATCACACAGCTACATTCATCTATGACACAGGTAGGGGGAAGGGTAAAGGACGCTATTAAATTTACCATCCCCTTATTTCTCACTCTAACATCCCCTTATTTCTCACTCTAAATTATCAAGTTTTCATGGAAAGGAAAAAAATGATCAATTCATACTGTTACTTCTGGCATGTCCTTTAGAAATTATGACAACAATAACAATGAAAAACTAAAGGAACATTAAAATCTTTACTATCAACTCACCGTGCAACACTTTGGTGGCGTATGCATTCCCTCAGCATTGCACCATAGTGTAATGCCAGTTCATTATTCTCATAACTAGCAGAACAGAAAAAATAAAGTCAGTAGAATGTGAAAGAAAATATCTATTAAGAAAAAAAAAAATGCAAAACATACAGTTAAGCTATAAAGTCAACATGTTTAAAGGCAATATAATAAATTCAAGAAAGAGATAAAGAAATGGTCCATGCGTTAGAAGCTGTCACATCCCTTTGCTGGACCATAACTCTACAAACTACAAATGACAAATGATTTGCTGAAACCATGTCAAGCACATCTCCATCATCATCTGGACTGAAGAAAGATTTAAATACTTCAACTTTGGTGAAAACTTTCGTCATGACACATACAGTAACGAAAACAACTGGAAAATAATCAGGTTCATCATCTCTAGGGTTCTTCACTGCCCATAATCCTCAGTTCTACAAATTCTCGATAAATGATGAGCAGCCCAGAGTTGTAGTCTAGAATAATTTCATCTACCAAGTATTTTCAGAAATAAGAGACTATAAAAAGCTCCACTATTCAGAACAAAGAAAGCTGAGAATAATATTCTCCATTTCTACCCCTCAAATAACAATCCAAAGGTTCTGGTAACACCTATTTCAAATGTAGAAGAATATTATATATACAATTTCCACTACATCAATAAAATCATTGCGAGAAAGATTTCATTGTGGTTAATTATTATGTCCTCCCAACTGAGAAATCTCAAATTGACAAATTCAGCTTTCAGATGCTTTATATCTCCACTTTATGCATACTATTGAAATAACAATAAGCTGATATTTAGTCCCAATTCAGATTTCCACATCTTTAAGAATCACTGTGATTGAACATCATGCAAAGAGTTTCATGCTATCATACCCTGATATCAAGATATCCAGGAGGTCTATGTTCTTTTCCAAGTAATCACAAGCGATCAACCTCGATTGAACCTGTTGTCTCTGCAGGTTTGCAACAACCTGTGTAGCATCTTTTCGTGTCTGCAAATAGTCGTCTTATTAGTCAACAACCGTTTATTCATTCTCAAATAAAGAACTAGCTGTGGCACCAATAAGTACAAAACATTCAAAACCAAAATTTGCAATATTATGTCTTATCACCATACCTCCCATTAATTTCAAAAGTAAAGCTAAACACGCCCAATAAGAATACTGATAACGTGTACGGATCAAGTTAAAGAGATATCCCAAAGTTACCTCTAAGTTCAACTTTGGAAGACATATAATTAGCAGCCGAAGAGTATTCTCTCTGAAGAACTCCTGTGTCAGCTGTGCACAGGCTTCTGCCACGGGCTCAGATTCACTATCCCCATAAAGAACTTGCTTTAATTCTCGGATAAGCTTTCCCAACTCCATCATCTACACAATACTACTACTAAAATCAGAAAAACATAGAAAAGATGTGGTAGATCGCGCTTACAGAGATAATAATAATATATATAAAAAATTACGTTATAAAACAACCTTGTCATCGCGCTTGCTCTCCTTAGTGTCGGGAGCGACGCCGTCGGCCAAGATGAGTAGATCGCGGGTCTGCCTAACCAAATCTGCGGGTGTCTTGGGCTTCGACTTGAACAAGGCTTTCATTTTGGCGTTCTCAGCGCCGCCATCGCTGTTTTCGGCCACCGATAGCTTCCGAACCAGCGATGGCTGCACCGAGGGAAGACGCGCCGGCGGCGGACCTCCACGGCCGCGGCTGCCGCCGCCGCCGACGCTTGACAAACAGCCTCCTATTTTCCTTACCTGAGTCGACTACACGAAATCCCTTCGGCTCGCGAGTGCCCGATGTCAGTTTTGATTGTTACTATCACTTCTTGACTTGGAGTTTCGGATAATCGGATTGGATTTATAGAGTTTAAACTGAGATTTCGGGATTACGATTTGGAGTCAAAGATGAGTGGGGAGGTTTTTCGAATTTTTATTTATAAACGCACCGGACTCATCGGATACTTATTTCATTATAAGATTTTAATCTGCTTTTAAAAATAAAATTACTAAATCGCATACAATCGGTGGTAACCCACTTATTATGTTTTATTTATGAGTAATTACATTTCAACAAGCGGATGTAACATGTAAGTTAATAATTAATTATATATATAAAAGAACATAATTTTTAAATCTTATTATCTTAGAGAAATACTATGGTCTCGTTACAGAACTATTCTGTCGGAGTTTGTAACTGAAGTTAAATAGATTTCACCCGGGCTCCTTCAACTCGACCGGCCTCCGTACCTGCAAGAATCCAACACCGGGGGTGGCCCCGGCGTCGGGCCTCCGATGCCTAAGTCAGTCCTCATATCAAGAGAGAGAAAGTGTAGTCATCAAATGAGTAGAGAATGATAGAATAAGGTACCTTGGCCTTCTTTTATAGGGGGAGTGTACCTTTTGGTCCTAAGTTGGGCTTGACCCCCATCGTTGGGCTTAGATATCTTAGTGGGCTTATCCTCCAATATGTATCCGCTTAATCCATAAACCGGGTTCAGTATAATATCCTATATCAGTAACCATTAGATCATCAAGTAACCGTCAGATATAATTGATTTAACGGTTACAAACCTCGACGGAATGGTTCCATAATGGGATTGTAGTTTTTCCCATTATCTTATATTAAATAGTTACAGTAAAATGCCGAATAACACTTGTGTTTTACTAGGGTTTACCGTAAACGTAGAGGTTGCCACGATCGAATGGTCCCGAAATTGGGCCGGTCAGACCCGTGGTCCAGACCGTGATTTTACTCGAGTAAGTTCAAGTGCAACTTTTTTTAATTAAATCGTTGATTTCGAATCCGAACCTAAACCGGAACCAGTAATTTGGTGTCAAAATTTTAATTTAAAATTTGATATATTTTTTTTTTTGTTTTTAATATATTCATTTTCTTTTAAATCCGGTTGGGCCGTGAACCGGCAGATCGGTTCTGAACCGTGAACCGCCGGTTTAGGTTCACAAAAAACGTGAAACCCGACGTTGAACTGACCTGGATCCGGAAAATGACCATGTCTACCTAAACGACTATGCACAACTAGGAGTGAACAAAATTCGGCTAATCGAGCCAAACCAAACGAAATTGAAAATTCGTTCAATGTCATGTGTTTTTTATTCTCTTTTTATCATTTATTTTATTGAAATATTGCGCTTCAGAAAGTCGACGAAAAATTCACCTAGAAATTCTGGAACCTCGACCGAACGAGCATATTTTCGCCCAGGAAGAATCAAGCGACTGGCGAGCTCGAGTCGAGCACCCAGAGACTGAGCCGAGTGCTCAGCGAGTACAAGTCGACGGTTGATCCATCAACACCCGCCGAAGGTGCACGTTGCTCGCACTCGCACTCGTGTCACCTAGGCCTTGCCCGCACACGCCCGCGTTGTCGCCAGCACACGCCCGCAGTCGCCCATGCATCATCGAGAGACGCGCCTACGCTCGCGGACGAGACCCACTTAGCGCTCGTCGCCAAACGTCCACACGCCCACCAGCACTCACCAGCGAACGACAGTCAGTTGGCCCACGAGTCCCGCGTCGACACTCGCCAGCGAACCCTGTTTTGCTGGCACGCAAGTTTCCCAACGAAACCAACCAGCCCCGCCTACGCGTACACTCGCATCGAATGCCCGTCCGCGACTGCTCAAGCCTCTCCATGAGTATAAATTGACTTAGTTTTTTGTATAAATTGACTTAGTCCTTTGTAATAAATTGACTTAGTCTTTTGGAATTTGGGATTCTTGTTTGTGGAATTTCTCTTCTTAGTTTTTTCCTCTTAAACTCGAAGACCAAATTTTTATTGTAATATTTCTCCGTCAAGATTGTACCGTTCCGGTCTATTTCTTCTCATAGATGCTACTAAGACTTTGAGACTTAATTTAAGGTTCAAGACCTCGTAAGTTTTCTTGTCTATACTTAGTGAATTTTCTAGGGTAAAAGTAAGAACTCCCATGTGTAGAATAGACTATGATCCTCGTAAGCAAGGGATTATGTGATTTTATTGTTGATTGCATGAGCGGGAAATGATTGAGAGTTCGGTTGTTCATCGCGAGTGGCAATTGTTTGATTACATGATTCTGAACCTTTGAGTACCTTCTTTCCACCTAGAGTCTTAGGGTTCTTAGCTCTTTTCTCTTTATTTTTATTTTCGCTATTTATTGTAAATTGAGGATTTTCGTGTGTTAAAGTTGGAGTCTTGCATTAATTATTGCCTTCAATTGCGTTCTTTAGCTTTAAACAACCAACCAAAATTGCGATTATCCAATTTTGTGAATCAATCGTTGCTTGAATCTAGTTCCGTACAACCGTTCTTAAGAGACACGACTCAAGATAGGGATTTATCCCGTAGTTGGTTAAAAAACTACAATCAGGTTGATCAAAATTCCCCACGACGACGGTCCGAGTCATTCAACTAGCTGCTTAAATCCCACAGTTCAACTGACATTGACACTGTTTGGACCACAGCCGCATCTTGAAGCCTGGTCAATTCGACAATAGCATCCTCCAGGGCACGACATCAATCTCTATAACCCTAGGATGATGCCATTTTCTCTCGTAGTCTTTTGATCTCTTCTTGATCGGCTTCACGCAGGTCCTTCAGTGCCGCGACTTCATCTAGTAGGGAATATAAACAACCAACCACGTACATAAGGGAGACCACCACTGGGTCTCGAGATGACGAACCCAAATGAGCAAGCTTTGCTAAAAAAACGTACTCTTATTATGGGGCCAATTTTGTTTCCCCCTCTGTGAAAGCATCCAAGAAGGCGTCAGCCATTAGCTAATTTCATACCTCCCTGACTTCAAACTTTGTTGGATATCGGACCATGGTTTGAGATCTGTCCTACTTATCTTACGGCTCTAGAGACCAGCTTTGGCAATTTATGTCGATTAGGGCAATAAGTCCTCAATACCCTTGCCTTTGATTGTAATTGCTCCACCCTCACCTCTGTTGTCTCCTCTAGCGACTACTTGATCAGTATCGACTTTGAGGATGGATACGAGATCTTTTCCACCACGCCTTTGGCATATAATTTTCCTCCTGAAGCCATCTCAACCGGTGACTCTAGGGATTGACTGTCCTTCTCAACCTTCTTTTCATGGGTACCATCATGTGGAATCTCGTCAGGACTCGGTTGTTGAATCTGAGGGATATCTCCTGGCCTAAACCTGGGCCATTCACCTCCAACGTTGTTGCTCCTCGCGCCACGGTACTAGATCATTTGCTCTCACTGACCTTTCTCTTCAGACCAACAAGTATTTTACAGTCGTCCCATTATCTAATACTTCATGTAAAGTAATTATGGAAAAACGCCTTGTGAAAATTTTATCTAAAATACAAATTATATGTTTTGGAGAGAGAACAAATAAAAAGAAAAAGAGGGTTTTCTTTGACGATAAAACTTGTAAATAGGTAAAGAGCTAAAATTTCTCTTTTCTTATTTATATATATACCCGTAGAAAAACTCCTAAAAGGTAGACGCGCCACTATTATCAATGCTATGAGGAGACATTTTAAAAGGAGGGCTACACTTCACACGTTAATGATCCTAAATCTGACACATGGGGAGCAAACATTGGAGGGACACACCTTTTCCACAGAGACTCCGTCATCATTATGGAAATTGTTATGCCCAATTTTAATGAACCGAAATGACACAACCTTTATTCTTTTAATAAAGGATTTTTATTTCACCAATTATGAGTTGGCCGTTTAAATACCCATCCCCCCTATATTTGGGCACCTTACATCGTCATCGTCTTCTCTGTCGAAGCTCATCACTAGATCGACAAGATAAACTCAAACAGCTTCCTACGACCAACCGAAATGTATCGTCTGGTCCTAAGAACCTGGAGGCCTTCTGGAATTTTTAAAATGTGTCGATTTGAATTAGTTTAATAAAATATTGTACAGGGTAGTAACTGAACAGCTGAAACTCGAACTAAATGGTTGGCAACATGTCTAGGTCGTACCCATAAGGGATTGGAGGGAAGGACCGAACCGAACACACGGGACGGATGCGGATCACCATGGTCGGTTCGGGTGTACGTTTACATAGAGGCGTCCCATTAGTGCCAATCATTTCACTAGATATCTGTACTATACTCGTTAATGGTGATGAGACATGGGAGTTCGTGATCCCACGGTGCAGAATTCACCGAACACGTGTCGCGGGCTGGGACCGTCATCCATCTCGAGATTAAGATTGACAAAGTACAAGTCGTTTCCATAAATCCTAGGAATATCTCTTAACTGAAAATGTAGATACAAATCCCAAAGAAAGATTAAAACAAGACCTCAATTTTCCTCTAAAATGAAGGAGATGTGAACTCGCGTCGCAACACGACAAATTTAAATTTAAGTTTTCCTCAACAACCTCCACTAACTAGTAGCAGCAGCAAGTAAAGGTCGATCCCACGAGAAGTATGTACTAAGTTGTGAGATTCTCGTATTAATTGACTTAAACTTAGAAAGCAGTAA